CCCCCCCAAATAAAATAAATAAATAATAAAATAAAATTACATTTACATATGTCACACAGGAAGAAAGACTTTATATTTTGTCAGTTTCCTGAAATTCATAAACTATTTTCTTGATCAGTAGGCCTTACTGCAGTGTCTCAGCCTGGCGACTTTAAGGCTATAAATATATTAATTTAGCTCTTTTTTAAATACAGACTGATATACGTGTATAGCCTGTATATTGATAAATCCTATTTGCAATAATAAAATCAACCTCAGATTGTAGACATGTGCTCTGTTTAAAAAAAGCATGAAATAGTGGAGGCGTTGCACAGTTCCGTGAGGTGTGTTTGAGTTGTTTAGCAGTGATGAAGGTTCAGCCCAATGAAAGGAAACGAACAATCTGTAAAAAACGGACCCCGGCTATCAGAAGCCGAGTGTTTCCTGAATATGTGTGTATTGAGGATGTGGATAAAATAATCAGCAGCGCGCACGAGTCCTGCTCCAGGAAAACATCTCAGCTTCTGAAAGCACATTTACTCCTATCGAGAGCTCAAGCTTTCCGGAGTGAACGGAAAGGCTCAGGGCTTGCTGAGCTCAGGCAGTTTGAACCTCAGGCCCACAACACGTGAGGAAGAGCAGCGGAGTCTTCCTCACCCAAACACGCTTCCTGTAGAGCTCAACATCTGGAGCACGATCCGAAGTCACGCTCGTCTCCAGCAGCAGGGTCACAGAAACGCGCTCTGAACTGCAGTTTCGAAATCAAGAAGAGCTTCCTCTTCGGGTCAGTCTGGTTGATATTATTAACCACACGAGCTGTTGGTAAACACACCTCACGAAGCCCAGCTCTCTATGTCCAAAGCACACCAACTTTTAGACGCAATTTCACAATTTAGTCCTAAAGCACATTTTCGTTGTGAACTTCAGCTTTCAGTTTTTCTATCCATCAAAACGAGTTATAAATGAATGCATTTAGGTTGATTCAGTGAACTTGAATAAAACCAGATTTTTGACTAGATTCTGTTGATGTGGAGTTTATTACAAAACATGTGTTTAATCACACTCTCAGAAAAAAGAAAAAAAAGGTACAAAATCTATCACTAGTACAGATATGTACAGTCACATTTTAGACACTCTATGTACCTTTAAGGTACACTGAAAAAAATTCAACACATTTTTTTTAAGGTAAGTGGTCGCAGACTATTTATTTTAGCTACATTTAATTAAAAAAATATGTTGAAAGTTAGTCAAATACATGTGTTTATTTAAATGCAGCTCAAATAAATTGATTGCAACCACTTACCTTAAAAACATGTAGTAAATTCAATGAATCCTTTTTAATATGCACCCTTTAGGGGTTAAACAAAGGTACAAAAGTGGAACTTTTGAAAAGAGCTTTTGTACCTTTTTTGGTTTCTGAGAGCGCGTTATTGACCAGTAATTAAACAATCAAATGAAGCCCAGTGCGGTGTTCAGTAGTTTAGATCGAGACAGGACAGAAATGAGTCTGGCTCTCACCCAGCGGGTCGTGGCGGATCAGCGCGTGCGTGAAGTCTCGCTGGAACGGGTAGATGGACGCGTAGGTGGCCGCGAGCGCGTGCTGGGTCAGAACCGGGTGGATCGGCGTGGGCTCGTAGATCGGGGTCCGGTAAGACGGGATCAGGCTGGTGAAGGACGAGTTCGGAGACGGCAGGGTCAGCGTGGGCGCCACCGGACCGGACGCGGACGCGTTCCTGCCCAGAATGTCCTCGATGTAGAAGGGCGTCGGGTGAGCGGGCGGCGCGGGCGTCGGCGCGTAAAGAGCCGCGTGCGAGTGCTGGAACTGCATGGCTGGAGGACTTCTGATGTCAGCTCGTGGACTTCTGCTTCCATGCAGTCTGCGATGAGCGAAAGCGGGAGGTCACTCGTGAGGGAGGAGAATAACGGGGCAAACTTCCTGCAGGTACGCGAGCTCTGATTGGCTCTCCGAGAAGAATGCGATGAAGGAGAAGACCGAAGAAACCTGAGGAGGAGGAGGAGGAGGAAAGTCAGGATGCACCTGGATGAAGCACTGCATGATCCAGTCTCACTTTCATTAAAGTCACATAAACTAAAAACTAAAAAACAAAACACTTGTGTCTTTCAGACTTGCACTCTATTCATTTGCTGCTTGTTTTCTTTAAAATATATATATATATTATACAGTTATTATACAGTTAACAAAAGCAAAAAGACCTTTAACACTAGCTTGCTTTATTTTTTTCTATTCGATCTGTTTTCTTTTTATTTATTATATGATTTAAAAAAATAACCTTGCTACTTATGCTGCGTTACGCTAACTGAGAGTGGTTCTAGCACTTGTGCATCATCGTTAGTTTTGATCGCTTCTATTAAGTCGCTTTGGAGAAAAGTAGCTCTGCTAAATGACTAAATGTAAAAAAAACCAAGCTTAATTGCTCACATTTGAAAGTCAAATTAAATTCAGTAAACTATATTTAATTACTGACGAAGAACAGTTTATAGAAATTAATAGAATTAATTATAGAATTTAATAACAGCAAAGATGTTACGACTTTTTATTCTGATTGTATTCTGGTTAATCGTCTATGTAGTGAAGATTTTGTGATTATATATTTACGCTGTTTTGTGCAATGCTTAATAAAAATGAAATTACAAAATATTAATGAGTAATAACGTCTTTGATTTTAAAGATAATGTCTTTACTAAAAAAATAACTAGAATATGATATTGTGTTTAATTCATATCTATTTGGCAATAATCAATATTCAGTAGCTTTTGTGTAGCCAAAACTGTAAAGTAATTATTATTTATTAAAATATTAAAATAATAAAATAAACACA